TCGCCCCCAGTGCTTTCCCCGCCCGGCAAAGCAGCCCCCCCCGAGGCCAGGGGGAAGCCGGCAGGAGGACCCCCCGCTGCCGGGGAGGCCGCCCCAGAGAGCCAAGGCAAGGCGGAGAAGTAGCAGCCTCTGAGCAGGTAACACCGCCCTCCTTCCCCGGGGCAGAGCAGGAAGGGACTTGGCCCTACAGTCCAGCCCAGCTGTGATGGGGGGCTGCCCTAGCAACACCCCCCCTCAGTTTAGGCACTTGTGGGAGGTGGAAAAGATGGAGGCTCGGGCTGATGAGGGGGGCCTGGGGAGAGGGAACCCAGAGGGTGCTTGGTGGGATGCATTTGGGGTTGGTTTGGGGGGCTGGGCTTCCCCATTATGAGCATTTTCCCGGCCAGGAGGACCCCCAGTGCTGCCCCCTAACTCCATCTCTCTTTCTCTCTCTCCTCCAGGGGACGCCAACCTGGGCGCGCTGCAAGAGGCCCCAGCCCAGTGGGGGGAGCAGGCACCAGGGACATGCCCCCCCAAACTTTAGTGGCATTTTAGTCTTTTCCTGTAGCTCCGAGGGGGCTGGGCAGGAGGCAGGACCCTGGCGCAGGGACTGGGGCTCATCTCAGCCACCCTGGCCCCATAGAAATGCCCCCTCTAGTATAGCACAAAGGCCCAGCCGCTCCAGCCAGGGACCGTGGGACTTTGTCTGCATCCTCCATTAAAGCAGTTTGACAAACTACTCCGAGACTCGAGTCTTATTCTTCCTGAGGACTGATCAGGGTGAGTTGGGAGAATCAGAGGTTTGTCACACACAAACACAGCAGTGGGCAAGAGGGACACATATATACACGCCCCTAGCACGGTCACACACCGGGCAGGGAGCAGGAGAGACACACACATATACACACCCCTAGCACGGTCACACACCGGGCAGGGAGCAGGAGAGACACACACATATACACACCCCTAGCACGGTCACACACCGGGCAGGGAGCAGGAGAGACACACACATATACACACCCCTAGCACGGTCACACACCGGGCAGGGAGCAGGAGAGACACACACATATACACACCCCTAGCACGGTCACACACCGGGCAGGGAGCAGGAGAGACACACACATATACACACCCCTAGCACGGTCACACACCGGGCAGGGAGCAGGAGAGACACACACATATACACACCCCTAGCACGGTCACACACCGGGCAGGGAGCAGGAGAGACACACACATATACACACCCCTAGCACGGTCACACACCGGGCAGGGAGCAGGAGAGACACACACATATACACACCCCTAGCACGGTCACACACCGGGCAGGGAGCAGGAGAGACACACACATATACACACCCCTAGCACGGTCACACACCGGGCAGGGAGCAGGAGAGACACACACATATACACACCCCTAGCACGGTCACACACCGGGCAGGGAGCAGGAGAGACACACACATATACACGCCCCTAGCACGGTCACACACCGGGCAGGGAGCAGGAGAGACACACACATATACACGCCCCTAGCACGGTCACACACCGGGCAGGGGGCAGGAGAGACACACACATATACACGCCCCTAGCACGGTCACACACCGGGCAGGGGGCAGGAGAGACACACACATATACACGCCCCTAGCACGGTCACACACCGGGCAGGGGGCAGGAGAGACACACACATATACACGCCCCTAGCACGGTCACACACCGGGCAGGGGGCAGGAGAGACACACACATATACACGCCCCTAGCACGGTCACACACCGGGCAGGGGGCAGGAGAGACACACACATATACACGCCCCTAGCACGGTCACACACCGGGCAGGGGGCAGGAGAGACACACACATATACACGCCCCTAGCACGGTCACACACCGGGCAGGGGGCAGGAGAGACACACACATATACACGCCCCTAGCACGGTCACACACCGGGCAGGGGGCAGGAGAGACACACACATATACACGCCCCTAGCACGGTCACACACCGGGCAGGGGGCAGGAGAGACACACACATATACACGCCCCTAGCACGGTCACACACCGGGCAGGGGGCAGGAGAGACACACACATATACACGCCCCTAGCACGGTCACACACCGGGCAGGGGGCAGGAGAGACACACACATATACACGCCCCTAGCACGGTCACACACCGGGCAGGGGGCAGGAGAGACACACACATATACACGCCCCTAGCACGGTCACACACCGGGCAGGGGGCAGGAGAGACACACACATATACACGCCCCTAGCACGGTCACACACCGGGCAGGGGGCAGGAGAGACACACACATATACACGCCCCTAGCACGGTCACACACCGGGCAGGGGGCAGGAGAGACACACACATATACACGCCCCTAGCACGGTCACACACCGGGCAGGGGGCAGGAGAGACACACACATATACACGCCCCTAGCACGGTCACACACCGGGCAGGGGGCAGGAGAGACACACACATATACACGCCCCTAGCACGGTCACACACCGGGCAGGGGGCAGGAGAGACACACACATATACACGCCCCTAGCACGGTCACACACCGGGCAGGGGGCAGGAGAGACACACACATATACACGCCCCTAGCACGGTCACACACCGGGCAGGGGGCAGGAGAGACACACACATATACACGCCCCTAGCACGGTCACACACCGGGCAGGGGGCAGGAGAGACACACACATATACACGCCCCTAGCACGGTCACACACCGGGCAGGGGGCAGGAGAGACACACACATATACACGCCCCTAGCACGGTCACACACCGGGCAGGGGGCAGGAGAGACACACACATATACACGCCCCTAGCACGGTCACACACCGGGCAGGGGGCAGGAGAGACACACACATATACACGCCCCTAGCACGGTCACACACCGGGCAGGGGGCAGGAGAGACACACACATATACACGCCCCTAGCACGGTCACACACCGGGCAGGGGGCAGGAGAGACACACACATATACACGCCCCTAGCACGGTCACACACCGGGCAGGGGGCAGGAGAGACACACACATATACACGCCCCTAGCACGGTCACACACCGGGCAGGGGGCAGGAGAGACACACACATATACACGCCCCTAGCACGGTCACACACCGGGCAGGGGGCAGGAGAGACACACACATATACACGCCCCTAGCACGGTCACACACCGGGCAGGGGGCAGGAGAGACACACACATATACACGCCCCTAGCACGGTCACACACCGGGCAGGGGGCAGGAGAGACACACACATATACACGCCCCTAGCACGGTCACACACCGGGCAGGGGGCAGGAGAGACACACACATATACACGCCCCTAGCACGGTCACACACCGGGCAGGGGGCAGGAGAGACACACACATATACACGCCCCTAGCACGGTCACACACCGGGCAGGGGGCAGGAGAGACACACACATATACACGCCCCTAGCACGGTCACACACCGGGCAGGGGGCAGGAGAGACACACACATATACACGCCCCTAGCACGGTCACACACCGGGCAGGGGGCAGGAGAGACACACACATATACACGCCCCTAGCACGGTCACACACCGGGCAGGGGGCAGGAGAGACACACACATATACACGCCCCTAGCACGGTCACACACCGGGCAGGGGGCAGGAGAGACACACACATATACACGCCCCTAGCACGGTCACACACCGGGCAGGGGGCAGGAGAGACACACACATATACACGCCCCTAGCACGGTCACACACCGGGCAGGGGGCAGGAGAGACACACACATATACACGCCCCTAGCACGGTCACACACCGGGCAGGGGGCAGGAGAGACACACACATATACACGCCCCTAGCACGGTCACACACCGGGCAGGGGGCAGGAGAGACACACACATATACACGCCCCTAGCACGGTCACACACCGGGCAGGGGGCAGGAGAGACACACACATATACACGCCCCTAGCACGGTCACACACCGGGCAGGGGGCAGGAGAGACACACACATATACACGCCCCTAGCACGGTCACACACCGGGCAGGGGGCAGGAGAGACACACACATATACACGCCCCTAGCACGGTCACACACCGGGCAGGGGGCAGGAGAGACACACACATATACACGCCCCTAGCACGGTCACACACCGGGCAGGGGGCAGGAGAGACACACACATATACACGCCCCTAGCACGGTCACACACCGGGCAGGGGGCAGGAGAGAGACACACACACATTCACATGCAGCAAGGGGTACATGTTTCCTGGGGGCGAGGATGCTGCACAGGCTCCCCAGCAAATTACAGATACCCCCTCTCCTGGCTTGGGTCTTTGCCCCTCCCTTGCCAGCTTCCCATAATGCTCCCCAGCTGCCTCTGGTGCAGGGCCCCTCCAGCCTTCCCTCTCCGTCCAACCCTGCTGCCCTTCTTGTGATTTGCCTCTCTTCCCCCCGACTAGACCCCCACATGCATCTGCCCTGTGGCCAGGGAGAGTGGCCCCCTGCCAGCCCCAGGCTAAAGTCAGGGCTGCTGGGGAGTTCTTTGCAGCTAGGGGAGGATTCGAGGCCAGCAGGTCTGGCAGAGTTGGGATGGGAAGCCGGCAATGCAGCGCTTCCCCGTTTCCCATTGGCAGCAGTGGCCCGCAGCGGGGGAAGTCGGGACCCCTGTGAGGGGGTGAACTGCAGAGGGGCAGGGGGGATGAGTGTGCTGTCACCCAGCCCTCTCCAGCTGCCCCCACAGGTGGCTGCATGTGGGGGAGGGGGCACTGTTTGGGGGCGCACAGCGCTGGAGGAAGAGCACATGGTGTCTATCAGCCCCCAGGATCGGGACCAGGCTGCTTCGTGCCAGGATGGGCCTGGCTTCACACCCTCTTGCCAGTGACCAAGATGGCCGCCTTCATGCGCCTGCAGGGATGGCAGTCAGGACCGTGCCAGGAACCAACATGGCCACCATGGCTTCGCAGTAGGGCGGTGGCAACACCCTCTGTTCCCTGCCTTCATGTGAGACACCACTGACGGGCTGCAGCCCCGGCGCCTAACCCCCAGCATGGCTGGCCGGAGTCCACCTACAGGGGACGCCTATGACGAGCCAGTGCCAGGAACAAAGATGGGCGCCCAGAACG